TTTGTAATAAAAGTACAGAAGAATAAAATTTGGTATAATCAAATTTCCAATGAAATACAATGTCCTATATATCTAATACGAGTAGGATATGTAGGTACGCAATGTAAATGATCTAAATAATATTCTTATACTTTAAACAAAATATTTTAACGAACGTTTCATAATTAAATAGATACGTTTTTATTATTTGTATGTATTGCAAAATGCAAGTTGATACCTATCTATACATCTACTTTTTAACGTTAACTAAATAAACAAATATATTACTTCATTATTGATATATTTATGTGTATATACTTTAAAAGCTTTAAAATATTAGGTAAGTAGATAGGTTAAAATTTTAATGTTATCAGCTATTAAATGATTTTATCTCTTTTTCAGCTGCTGCTTTCTAAGGGCCAGTCATCGAAGTCACTTTATGTTAAGTTATGTACATTATTACCCCTAATTTATTATTTATAAATTTATATTTATCTGTCAAAACACTGACTATGTTAAAGAATATATTAATAAACTGATAAGATAAAATTATGAAACAAATGAATACTTCATATTTTGGATCATTGTTGTACTTTCATGCAAGATCTCAAAGACTGCAATAACATAGTCACTGCCATGGTAATAAACACTCTTGTTATACATTATGTGAACTTTGTTTTTATTAAAATATTTTTATGTATTACAAAATAAAAAAAAATCAATAAAACCATATAAAAAACGATTTTATGTTTATTCTTAAACGGATATATTATCCATCTAAATCCTTCGCCCTCTCTTAGTCGCCACTTGCGACACCCACGGGAAAGGAAGGGGTGGCCTATTCTATGCCGGAACCAAGTGGAATATCAAAGGGATAGTGTTACCTATTAAAACATATAAACCTCCCATTGGGGGGTTTTGCTAGTAGTTACTACGCTTGGCAGACGGGTTGGCAATCGCAGTTAGCATTTAGTGGTGTCTTAAGAGGAAAACTGCTACCAATTCCTCGGTCATTAAATTCCCTTTGTCGCCTCTTGCAACACCTACGGAAAAAGATGCGTCACCTATTGAATGCCGGGGCCACACGGCCTTTATATTAAAGAACTTTTTTGGCATGTAAATAGACATTTTCTACCAATATCTGTTTAAGACTTTTTCCGTGATAATATTTTGAGGTTCTTTTTTATAAAATTTATATTACACCTTGGTAGGATAACTTAAATATCTACATTCACTTAAAACTAAATATACATTAATATATAAAACTGATATTATATATTTTATTCACACCCCCATCAAATCCTTTAAAAATTGATTTTAATAACACAGCGAAATCTTCATTTTAAGGATCAATATGTTCTTAATTTTTAATACATTTATGTAAAAATAATTATAAATTTTAGTTTGTGATGTTGATAAAACAGTCATTTCATGAAACTATTAAATCAAAATATTAGGTAAAGAGGTTTAGAGAAATAGCGCCTCAGAATCGATTTCACTGTTTACTACGTGATTTCTCTGTTTATCTTTCTTTAATGTATAAGTCTCTATGTTTATTTGTTTTTTAAGTAATTAAGTTTTTCACATTACCATATTACTGACAATTTTATTCATTATTGTGAGCCATTATATTATAACAAATTTTATATATGCTTTAGTCTGTACAATAGGCGGAAAACGCCTGTCAATCGTAGCAAATATTGGTAAAAATAGTATGTACAGGTTAAGTACTAATCATGTTGTAAAATTAACATTTTTAGAAAAAAATCTTTATGTAAATTTATATAAGTATTACATATGACTTTGCTTTTAAGCGACTTCAAAAAAAGGAGGACGGTCTCAATTCCATTATGTTTTCTTATGTCTGAACTCCGTCCGTCCGTCTATATAAACCAATTTGGCAATTTCTTTTTTTTATCTGAAATATATATAGTCTCATAAAATTTTAATTGAAATGGACTCAATAATTTAGTTTTTAAATCAAAATAACTAATTTTGTCACATTTATTTTATACTGCCATTGTTAAAGACTGATGTGAGATACTTTCATAATTTATAATTTGTTTTAACCAGAGGAAGACTGTACAAAAGTCATCTGCTTGGGTACTTCTGTCCATTCATGTTTCTACCGCGAAGCAATTATGTTTATATGGTTGTGTTTCTGTTTGAAGGATGGGAAATGGTAGTGAATTACAAGGTACATAAGGAACGACATTTATATTTATTAGATTTATCCTCAGAAATGACAACACATGAAGGCTATTATGGGCGACACAGTATACTGTGTTATACCCGTGGGACTGGTCATATCTACGAGTATAGGCAACGGTTACTACTTTTCATCAGGTGGGCCGTCAGTTTGTTTGCCATTTTAAGTTGCGTAAAAGAATTAAATCTAATATCCCACCCTTAAAACCGAAGTACAAATAATAAAACAAATAGAGAAGTATATCCCTTTCGATTAATAAAATATATATCGAAATCGGCTCACAATTAGCAAAGATATTGTATAATATACGTGTGATACTCAGAAAGTTTTGCGACACTAAAAAAATTTTCTTACCAATAGAATATATATTTTTATTACATCTTTTTAAAGTACTCTCCACCAGCCTCTATATAAAGTTTCATGCATCTGAACCAGTTTTCGAAACACTTTTTCCAATCCGCCGCAGACACCTAGTTTACAGCCTGCTCGAACGCTGAGAGCGCATCATCCGGCGACGAAAATTGTATCCCTTTGAGCTGATTTTTTATTTTTGGGAATAAGAAGAAGTCACACCATGCTAGGTCAGGGGTGTAAGGAGGGTGACCTAGGAGTTGACCGGTGTGCTGTCTAAGAAGTCTCTCGTTTTGATTGCGGTGTGGGCGGGCGCATTATTGTGGTGGAGCAGTAGCCCGCGGAGCCCTGTGTTTGGTCGCTTGTTGTTCACAACAGAGAAAACTTCTGCCAAGCATTTGGTAGTATACCATTCGGCGTTAATGTTTCTTTGATTTAGTAAAGGAATTGACACCAAGTAGCCAGTCAAATTGAAAAAGCTTGCGATCAACATCTTCCCCCCGCATCTAGGTCGCTTTACTTTGGTAGGCGTTGATTCGTTTTGAAACACCCAAACCGTCGACTGGCGCTTTGTTTCTGGATCGTATTGATAAATCCAGGATTTATCACCTATAATGATGTTGTAAACACGCTGAGACGAGCCTGCTTCAAATTTGTCTATCATATCATGGCATCATTTCACCCTTGCCAGCTTCTGAACATCAGTGAGGTTGTGCGGCACCAAGCCTGAAACTATCTTCCGCACCCGTAGATGCACATGTAGAATCTCGTGAAGGTTGCCTAATTCAATCTTCAGTATATGCTGAATCTCTTGGTATGTAACTCGTCTATTGTCTTGGATCAAATTTTTCACTGCAAGCACGTTTTCTTCGTAACAGCCGTCAAAGAGGGACCACTTCTTTCTTCAGCCCCCAAAATTAGTTTACCGTGCTTAAATTCATTATACCAACGATACACGGTTATCTTAGAAGGGCCTTCATTCATTAATGTCATTTGAAGTCTATCATACGATTTGTCCGGTTTCAGGCGACACTTAAAATTATAAAAAATCATAGCGCGAAAACGTTCTCGACGCAAATCTATTTTCCATGAGACATGGTAATTTTAATTAGCTCGCAAAAAAATGTGGAGGGACGTTTTATAGTACATTACTGCAGCCGCCAGCAACTGAGGCATTGATGGATGAACGTGCAAATGTGGGCCGAGGCGTAGTCGAGGTGTTTGCTCAACCGTGTATTCTATTATATTGAATGCCCAACAAAATAAAAACTAGAAACCATTTAGAAAGCAGCTCTACCTAGAAACGCCCAAGAACTCAGATCATTTCTTGGGTTAGTTAACTTTTACAAACGTTTCATTCCACATTTACATAGTATATGCACAAATTTACATACTTTGACGGAAAATCGCCGCAAAAGGCAATGGTTGGAAACAGAGGATAAAATATTTAATAAAGCAAACAAAAAAATAATTTTGCGCTCCATACTCCTAATTGCTTTATTCAAAGTCAACTAGTTTTTTTAGCTTGTAAAGCGTCTGAAAAAGGGGATAGTGTTACCTTTACCATAAAAATAATTATATTGTGCAGTCAATTGCGTTTGCTTTGCGAAAATTAAAACCAGCAGAGGTTAAATATTCCGTTATCCATCGTAAGGTGCTTGCCATTTTCTTTGGGATTAAGAAATTTTATCAATATTTACGTGTATGTAGTTGTGTAAGAACTGACTAGTGCGTTGAGCCCTTCTGATTGGCAGCTATAACAATGATGTCATATTTACAAAAGGCAAACTTAATATCATGGCTCTCTCACGAATGCCCAACCCTCGCGAAAAACCCTCATTATCAGAAGTTTTGGTTCATAAAATAGACACACGTCACCAAATGGGTAAGCTACGTGGCTTAGCTATATCTGAAGACATTCTGAAAAACGAAATTAAGAAAGATACTATTCTTAAAAAGGTGAATGAATTTTTAAAAACTGGTTGGCGTCTAGATAATTTGTTAGAAAAATTGAGACCATATTTAAAAAAATGTAGTGAATTATTATTAGAAAACAAAGTTCTAATGTGTCATGGTCGAATAATTGTTCCCTATTCATTGAAGAACTCTGTAATGAAATTTCTTCACTATTATTTCTTCACTATGAGAGCTCTTGCTCGTTATTATGTTTGGTGGCCCTCAATCAACGAGGATATTGACATGTGGGTAAAAAATTGCAGCAATTGTCAAAAAAACCGCCCTATCGTGATAGAGTTATCGGTTTACTCATGGTCTATCCCTATTGATCCGTGGGAGAGAATTCACATAGATTTCACGCCCTATTAAAAAAAATAACAAGAATAATTTAAACCGATAGTTGCAAAATATTATTTATCTATGGATCATCGACAAAGGTCTTAATACTGGACGACAACGACGACGACATCAATCAACCTTCAAATTAGCTGTCAGTATAAATGTCAGTACGTTCAGTTAACTCAATTTAAATTTTTAACGTTTGGTTTAATTTAATCATTTGTTTACTCACTTATTTCTAATTTGTTTCTTAAAGTTTATTTATATTTGAACATAATGGGAGAACAAGTCCAAGACGAAAATAGTGACGTTGATTTAAATAACACTGAAGTTTCCTTTGATAACTTAACCATTTTAAAAGAATTCAGCAACATTGCAAATCTTGTAAAGTACGATATGTTTTAATACATCTATTGTTTTCAACTCGTTTAAATAAACTAATGGCTTTGAAAAGGCATTTCATAATGCTAAATTTATTTAAAACATATATAAAGGGGGCATATGATGATACTGCTTTCGCCTCTTTGGAGCATTTTATGGGTGTTAGCTATATGATGACTATTTTTTTTTTTAAGTAATATAATTTACTTACTGTTCATAATGTCTTATAGAAATGAAGACTTCTTGGAAACGGTTCCTAAAGCAAAGCTTCGACGAGTAAAATGGGTACCTATGTTTAACTGTTTGAAACAGGGCATTTTAGATGAAATGGTACAAGAACTTAGCACAATGTGGAGATATGAGAATATACCAGCAAAGTTGGAAATACTAGAAAAACAAAAGGAAAAGTTTGCAGAAATTAATTCAGACAAAAAAATGTGGTAAGCACAACTTTTTTTAGTGATGAGGTACCATTTGACCCAATTTCTGTTTTGTCAAACACTGCAAGCTATTTGGACTTCAAACAGTTCACACAACTTTATTTCTACTTTTATTTATTTTAACCTGAAGGGTATATATACAGTAAATGTAAATATGTCTAAAAATGGAATATGCTTACATATATTTTTCAAATGGTAGCACATCTAGTATATACATTTTTTGTTTCCACTTGTTTTCTTGTTTATCATTTTTTAAATGGTTTTTTTTTATGAGTGAAAATGATATGGTAATGGTAACTCTGCCTGCGCTAATGGGATATGCTGGCGGAGCACCAGTGAAGGGTGATAGATGAGAATGAAAACAGGCCAGTTAGCCCATCATGATAAATTCATCAGGAATTAACCATGATAGTTTCCAGGGGGAACCGCAGGGAGGTCGACCTGGTTGGGTATATTGCTAGAAATGGGATTCTCAGTCTCCATTACTAACAACCCCTTCCTCCCCCCGCCCCTTTTATAAATGGTTTCACTGACTACTTCAAGTGTTTGCAAGGATCACTAGTGGTCTGGTGACCTTGGCAAATAATTGACCTGACCATAGGATAGTCTGAAAATATCTGTTATAATTTTAACAAAACTTCATTAAATTAATTATATTAGTTTTTACCTGCAGATTCATCTATGTGACCGGTCCCAAGTAATGTTTTTAGATTGGGAAAATCATTTAAGATTCTATTTCCATCCTATATAGGATGTGTATACCATATTTCATAGAGATTGGTTAAGCCGTTAAGGTGTTATAACATAACAAACAAACTCAATTTCACATTTATTCATAATATTTAATTAAGTTTTATTAAAAGAACTATACAGGATTTTTTTTGTACCTCTATGTACTTAATACCAATATATTTTTAATGTTTATTCAGGAGGCCACAATTAGGTGATGTTAAAGCACAGTTAAAAGCCAGTGATTGTGTCAATCTACAAAAACAGAAGGTTTTATTAGAATCACTTGCTAAGGAATATGAAGCAAGAGTTGCCCAACTGAAGAAAACAATTTTAGCAAAAAGAGGATATCTCAAGGCTTTGCAAATGGATATGCAAAAATATCAAAGAAAAAATGAAGATTTTATCACTAAAATTGGTGACAGATTGGAAAATCATGAGAATTTAATCAAATCATTAATACCAAATAAGATGCCAGTTCATGAAATTATTTGGACAGATATTGAGTTGGAGAGTAAGGAGTAAATTGATAATGCACAGTCATTTGAATAAAATTTATATATTTCAGAAAATTGTACACACCTGAGAAAAGTACAACGAAATATCATATTTTGAACTCAATTTTTTCAGAAACTTACTGTTTACTAGTGTAGATAAAAGGAGATAATAAAATGTTAGTGTTCATTTTAAAGTGATACTGACAGTAAACCACATAGAAATCTAATTTAGCAGCATTCTGTTCAACTATACCTAATTTCACTATACATTTGGATTGTTCAAACAGATAAAAGATTTTTAATAAGTAATTGTAAGCAACAAACTTACCATATAAACAGATAAATTATAAATTTGTTTAAATATGAATTAATATTGATAAAATATATAGAGAAAATGATACCCTATTAGCAAAATACATCAAAAATAGTACAATAGCATAAGAAATTACAGAATTTTATGCTTTATTATAAATGCAAATTAAAATAAAACAAAAATAAATCTCTTACTTTAAATAGTTATATTTATTAATGAAAATCATTGGACAATGTTAACATAGCTAAAAATAAAATTGTACAATGCAAAATCTGCATATAATTTTATATTATTTTATAATTACAGCAATTGCACTATTGTTGCGAGGACTATACTGTTTCTACCACCTTCAATCATTGAAATTATTCCATTCTATGACTTGTTATTGCAAACTGTCAAAGCCTCACATAGGAGATCATGCCAAATATATAATTTCATCATTATTTACTTATTTTTTAAGAATAATACTGAGTGCAAAATAACATTAATTGATTACTCACTCCCTAAACAACTGTTTCCAATTTGATCTTAAAAACATATTACTGAAACAGGAAGGAGGCAATGAACTAACATACCTAAATATTTATATACAAGTCAAGCATGTGGATTTAGTTATATGATGCAAGGTAATGTGGCACCATAATCATTTTACATGAAACAAGACATTCACAGAAAAGTTTCCTGAAGGGCATGTTAGTTCTATTTTATTAAGCCATCCTTTTTATTTCTATACATTTAGAAGTGATGAACATTTTTTAAGTAAGTGACAGTGATTTTTTTTGTTTAGGCCAGCCCTACAAGAAGATTATTTTACTTCAAGAAAATAAATGTCAGTGAAATAGTTATAATTTAAAGTCACAACAATGAGAGACTTCATAGTTGTTTGTTTTGATAATTTTTGCCTAATAAAAACTAAAATTTTCAAATTAACCAATCATCGTCACCTATACGACCTATACATACTTTACATTTATAGGCACATTAGTTATAGAATAAACAAAGCAAATGTGCTTCCGATCCACTACAACTTAATATATATTTAATTATGAAAATGTAACGACGCTTTAGTCCAATGCCCGCATCTTTAAGATCGCTCAGTATTCTTCAAACTCTTTAAAATTAACGAAATAATTTTACTACAACATCAACATGTTAGAATAACACAACAAGGTACAAATACGATCTAAAGGCTGTGTTTTATCAGGGATCGAAAAAGCAAGTCACCGAGGCATCGCCGAATAGCTCATGTCTGCTCAATATCGACAAAATGTAGAACTAAATTCATAAATTAATATCACTCACATTAATAATAATAAAAATTAAAAATAAGAAGGCACAAGCAAATTGATAAATAATTTTAACAATACATGACATATTATTCGGCTATGTCCAATGACCACACTAAACATAATAATTATAGTACATAATATAATTAATTATTTGTAGCATTCCTCTCACTGTGCAGCACACTGGATCCCAAACGTCAGTTATTTCTTCTTCGGCGGTGATCGTTGAGGCGTAGCTGGCCTCCCACTATTGATGCCATTGTATTGGTATTTTGCTTTCTTTTCTGACGGTTTTAATATCTATAAAGAATATGAAAGTTTTCATCTGTTCAAAAAAATAGCAAAGTAGGTACAATTATATTTTATGGAAAGGTAGGGCCATACAAAACTTTTTATATAACACGGGGCAAACGAGTATGAAGCTTAGCTGATGGTAAATGACTACCACCGCCCATGATCACCCGCAATACCACAGGCATTGCAAGTGTTACATATATAGGAGCATAACTAAATCATTTATAAAATTGTTTCCACACTTAATTAAAAGTTTTACAACATTTTGTATAACATACTAATGCAATTTTAGTATTTTGTCGTTTTTGAACTAAAAAAATATGCATAATATTTGATTATAATAAGGCATTATGAACATTATGTTACCTGGAAGGAACACATGAGCGTTTCGTCCACAGACATCATACCACCTGCGTTATCGAACTCTCCGCAGTAGTTAGGAGCGGAAAACAGCGTTACAAGTTGTCGTTTCGCGAAAAACTCGTAGCCATCTTCTACTACCTGTTACAAAATGAAGAGTACCATTATAATATCAGACTTGTTAATACATGACTGAGACAAACAATAAATGAGAATGTTAATACATGACATACAATAAATGAGAATGGAAATATATTTATTCTTTAGTTTATCTGCAATATTTGTAATACTTTGGTGGCACTACACTCTTACATTACCACCACACACACACACATTATACAAATCGGTCCTTATTATAATATAACACACCACAGGGAGACTTTGTACAAAAGTCGATTGCTTGGGTACCTCTGTCCCATTCGTGTTTCAACCGTAAAGCAGTTGTGTTTGCATGGCTGTGTTTCGGTTTGAAGAGTGGGATATGGCGTGAATTTACTGGGTACGGAGGAATAACACCTGAGTCCTCAGGAATGGCAACGCATGGGGGGTATCATGGGCGAAACAGTATACCCTGTTATGTCCATGGTACTGCTCATGACTATAGGCGACGGTTACCACTTTCCATCAGGTGGACCGTCAGCTTGTTTGACATTCTAAGTTGTATAAAAAAAAAACTACAGGGGTGTATGGAGGCTTCTGTCCTAGTTCTGTTAGTGTAATTTTTCGCGGGAGAGCAAATAAGCCGGCATGCACTATATTTTTAGAAATTGGTGCAAGTATTCGGAAATCCTCGGCTTATTTAGGGCGAGTCTGGGGATGATTTATTATTTATTTTCTGTACATATACACAACAATATGACAATGCAAATTTCGGAAGCCCTGAACCAGCAACCTTAGCTATGAGAGAAAGGTGATGAAAGCTAAAATTCCACTGAAATCCCTTTGACACTTATATTTGCTTTTATCGCTAATTAATCAATAATAAACATTTTAACAAAAAAAAAAATTATTTTTGGTTTAATGTTAAGATTTGCTGGCCATAGCACAGATATATACCTCGAGAATGTAAGTACCTAAATTATTTTCCTATAGGGATGTAATCGTCATTTATATTAATTCAAGGTGTGTAGAAAAAGAGCCTCATTTTTTTAAATTACATCTACCCAGTAAGGTACTTCATGCGAAGAACAGATGATTGTTACATCTGCCATGTGATGGCATTGGTACGTTTTGAATGAATTAAATTAGTTACCTGATGAGCACGACAAATCAAGTCCAAATCATGTCTGTTTAGGAATTTGCTGACAACATCTGGGCCAAAGGTGAAAGACACGCCGCGATCATTCTCCCCCCAACCTTGGACATCTTTGTCTGGATCTGACCACAGTAGATCACAAAGTAAACCTACAAAAATACAATAATTAGTAGAAATTATTATTTTTAATTATGTACATATTAAGAAGTTAATTTAATTAAACCTGTTGGATGTGATATGTGAGAGCTGATGACATATTTACCTGTATCGGGAACATCAGTAGGTCTCATTATCCGCCTGATTTGTTCCATACCCTGCAAGTCTGGTGATAGGCCTCCATGGCAGCAAAATATTTTCTCGTCAATAATGGCGGCAATGGGAAGACAATTGAAACAATCAGTGAAAGTCTTCCACAACTTGATGTTGTATCGACGTTTGCATTCATCATAAAAGCCTGTAAATTAATATGGTCACTGAGTGAAAATGAGTTTTAAGTACATCCAGGATATTATTTAAAACTAGCTGACTCTATTTTCTTATTCTGCTATTCGGGACGCCCGATACTAACGTCACTCAATTGTATTGCCTTTCCGAAATTTCAAGTATTATTACGAATCGTTTGTATGAGAGTATAGAAAAGTGTTGTTTTAGACTTTTTCAAGCATTTTTTTAATTTTTTCTCTCCGTAAGAACCATCCTTGTACTTACAGAAATATTCTAAAAAAAGAATTAGCGAAATCGGTTAAGCTGTTCTCGATATTTGCGCTTAGCAACACATTCAGCGGTTCATTTGTATGATATAGATGTATGTTATTTGTATGTTATTACAAAATAATAGAATAAAATATGAGTATGAATAGTAACAAATAAATAATTTTACAGGAATGTGTGAAATTTTTGATTGTGATCACTGTTATCATTTAAAAAAAATTGAAAATTATTACTTACCATAAATACGATTTATGCTGGCACATTCATGGTTGCCACGAAGAAGAAAGAAATTTTCTGGATACTTAATTTTGTAAGCAAGTAAGAGGCATATTGTTTCAAGAGATTGCTTGCCGCGATCCACATAGTCGCCAAGAAACAAGTAATTAGCTTCTGGTGGAAAGCCGCCATATTCAAATAAACGTAGTAGGTCTGTATATTGTCCGTGTATATCACCTGAAATTACAACACGTATCTTAAATAACAATGATAATAATAACAGATATTCAGTATAATATATGAAAATATTCTAACTTGTTCAGTAAGTACAATTTTTATGTGTATGTATATATAATGTGAATCCATATTTATGTAATTTGAAATTGAGTCTCTGTTGTTTCAGTTTTCACAGCTAAATATCGTAACCAATTTCAATAGATCATGTGGGGGAGGGGGAATAAAAATCTAAATAAAATTCTAGATAAAAGCAAAGATTATTCTTATCATCATATCAGCCGTTATCTGACCACTAATGAACATAGGCCTCCCCCATAGACCGCTGTAAGAAACGGTTCTGAGTTACCTGCATTCACTAACTCACTGCGATACATTTGGGGTTGTCATTGCATTTGTCTATATGGGGCCGACACTCAAGAATATTTCTTCCCCATCAGTTGTTTCTTCGAATTATGTGACCAGCATATTATCACTTCAGCTTGCTCGTCTTTCGGGCTATGTCGGTCACTTTGGTTCTTCAGCAAATAACCTAATTCAGCAGATTCTATCACGCAAAGAATTATAGTGATTAAGCAACTTAGTGGCAATGGACTGGTCACATAGCTCGAAAAACCGATAACCGTTGGGGAAGGAAGTGGCGACTCCGTACGAGCAAACGCAGTGTAGGACAATCCCCCAATAAATGGAGTGACGTCCTCAAATGCATTGCAAAGAGTCAGTGGATGCAGGTGGCTCAGAACCATTAGCAGTCTATGGGGGAGGCCTGTGTTCAGCAGTGGGTAGACAATGGCCGAGATGATAACCTTTTTGGAAACCAGCTTGTTCGGGTGGCAAGAAATCGTCGAGTTTGATTGGTGATAGTCACAATTCAGTAAGGATATCGGTGTATATTTTTTTAATAGGGTATTGTCACATTTCTTGAAGAACAGAACTACCGCACTTTCTGATTTACGTTTCGAGCTTAACACCGTTATGTTAGTTAGTTTTTGGATTTTTTTTGAACGTTGGGGCATATAAAGCTTCACTGTTTGGACAGTTTTTACTGACTTGTTGATATCGTCCGTTGTTTCACAATTTACCAGGTACTGATAACGATTTAACACTTCGGGGCTCTGGATAAGAAACGTAGGCTTCATCAGATGAAACCATTTCAGCCTAATATTCAGATTTAATATGCCTCTTACCATTCAGTGATCACTTCTATTGATCGCTGAGACATGATTGAACAAATGATGATTAAATGTCAAGATGAAGTCTATATCATTTCTTGTGCATCCATCAGAGCTAGCCCAGGTTCATTTCTTGTGTGACCGCTTTTGGAAGAAGTATTTCATCACAGAGTCCTTCCTTCTCCATGAAATCAACTAATTAACTAATTGTTGTCCCCTAGGATTTCACCGCCCGATGCCAGTTTCCCATTCTCGTCTTGTTTTCTTTCCTTTCCCCCAATTTAGCGTTGCAATCCTTTATCAACAGTGTATTGAAATTT